TGTAAGTTTTATTTAATGACAATTTTGAAAATTTATATTAAGAACGATTAAATAGACTTTCATACTTCAAAGCTTCAAAATAGTATTTGAATATTTTTTCTCGAAAAACGTATCCGTCGATATCAATTAACATCAGTAATTATTAGTTAATAATTTAAATCTAATACATTAATTTTTTAATTTTCATAATTGTAATTTTGCGGCAAGTATGATTACGCATTAAATAAAAATAATTATTACCATTATAGGTCAAAGATTTTTTAGCATCGCTTGTGCATATGCCTCAGTACTCGTGTACACTTATGCGCGCGATTCTATTGCCCCTAAAGAGATCCTCGACTTGTGCTCAAACCATCGAGTTGGCGCACAGCATGTGTTTGAGCCTTGTATCTTTAATCGGTGAAGTAGCCGCGCCAATTCTCTCGATTCTGCGCGACTTTGCAAACCTGCATGTCTCGCGGGTGCCCCGGCGTCAAGAACTCGCGCTTCTTCCTCAAAATCGGGAGCCGGCCTCAATTTTAGAGCATGTAGATGCACTCGAGCTCGAGAATGTGGGCAGGCGACTGCTTGACGTGTGTATGAGACGTCAGCGAAATGAGGCCCTCATTGAAGCGATGGCTCGTCTCCTCGTAGCCGATAGTGAGCAAGGGGCCATCAAGCCGAGGACAGGGTTATTAATTGACTGGCTGGCCTCAGTTGAGCCCGAGCTTATTGGCACTTGTCCTAGTTTGCAAATGCGGTTGTTATTCGGTAAGGCGAGCGTATATATGAGGATCGATGAGAGGTTCGTTAGCTCGCACTCCTGCAGGCCTTACTTACTCACACTTCTTACCCACGGGGCGAGCTGGGCAACTCTCTATAAGTGTGTTGGACACCTTCTTAATCAATGTCATCATGGGTAAGTAGTCGTCATTCGTGACCCTAGTACCTTTTCATTTTGTTCATTAATTATAATCGATATATACATGAAATAATATCTAATAAAAAAATGTTGCTGAATAAATGAAAACATGCTTTTCAATATGTTGTACTAAAATGTGGCTGGAAATTTATTTATAAATTAAAAAATCGGCAACACCAAGGCTATTACTGATTGTTTAATTTAAGAATATAGTTTACTATATAACAGTGAAATTGATTGTCAAATTTTTTGTGTTATATGAATGAATCGGCACATAAACAAGAGTTTTTATTTTCGCATACGAAAAAATTTATGAAATGTGGTTTGATATTTGATCGTTTTATAATTATTGAGCATAATTGTTGTTAAAATATGAAATTACACAATTTTTTGCCATTGCCCTATTTTTAAAATTAGTTTTAATACATTTTAATTTAACAGATTCTAATTCATTCCAATACATTCTGCTTAAACTAAAAACAAATCCCATTTCTATTACAGCATAGATCAATGCTCGAAATTCCGAATAGATTTTTTTAACGTTTACATTGCTTTAACTATTCATGATTCTTAATATTTATGATGTAATATTTTTTCTTTTTGACAAAATCGTATTTTTATTTAATTATTAGTTTTTATTACATATGTTTGGTCATAATAAGTGCATTATTAAGATGCTCATTTTTAGAAATAAGTGTATTTGTTCAATTTTTCAATTATTATTATGATACTGTTAAAACAAACAATTTTATATTATCATTTCTATTTTATAATCATTTATAATTTTTCGCATAATTACTTTAAGTAATGTCTAATATTTTAGCAAATAAATAATATCTTACTTAAAAATTAACGATACAATTGATTAAAATAATTCTCGTATTTTTAATGCTTATATATTATATTTTGATTATTATTGTATCTGATATGAATTATTTTTACATTAAAATTTGCATTTATAATATATAATGTATAATAATATATATAATATAAGTTTATTTGTAAAAATAGATAAGAAACTATAATAAATTTTTAGGGACTGATAAATTCGTATAATATTAAACAGTCTCTATATGTTAATTTAATCCGTAAGATAAAAATGTAGTGGATAAAAAATAGTGCCAATTCCTAACTTAATCGGTGGCTATTATCTTTGAACATATAAATTTGAAAAAATGTTCATATATTTATAAATAATAAATAAATGAGATATGTCAAATAGGATATATCTCATATCATTTATATTGTGTCATTTTCAATTAAAAAAATCTACATATCTAAATATATTAATATGTAGTCCTAAATAAATTGCTTTTTGTAAAATTGTATCATGTTATTTGTTATCTTTATGCGTATATATGCTATAAAATTTTCATTAAAATTTGATACAGACAGTATAAATAATAAAAAAAAACTTTCGATGAGCTTGGAAGTTTATATAATTTATATGAAAAATTTGATTTTAGGTATGATCCAACTGCGGTCTTAGATTTTTTATGGGCATTGACCTGTAATCCAAAATTATGGCAAGGTCGGGAAAAGTATTCAACAAAGAATGATATTCCAGAAAATATTTTACTTCTTACCAATGAACAATTATTGACTCTTGTTATGTATCTAATCGAAGAAGCGGTTATTTTATATCAACGACAAAATCGAAAAACTGCTATTACACAAATGGAAACACGATTAGATTTGTTGCTTTGTTGTTGTTCCACAGAAGATGAATTAACAATGGGTGTAGTCAAATATTTAGCCGATCAAATGACATTAAACAGCTGGTTAGTATTAGAATGTTTCATAATTTAACTGTAAAGAAAATTAAAATTGAATATTTATAAAATTAAATATATAAAAAATATAATTGAGATTTTTAATTTACTTAAAATAAATGAAAACAAAATTTGCTCTCTGTAGAATAATATATTTTTAAAAATTGTGAAAAAAATATATTATATAAAACTTTTTAAGATGTGTCATATAATATTTAAAAATTAAATTTTTATTATTATTTCAGTGTGTCCTCAGATATGGCACATCAGTTTCTTCTTCAACTGTATATGAAGGTTCCAAAAGTGATTTGTTACTTAAGTGCCTTCCAGGCAAAAAAAATGGTTAATGGCGCACGTATCTGTGACTGGACGGGCTCTGTTCTAGATTGCATGAGCCACACTTTACTGACAGCTTTAGCAGCTACACCTCGGCAAAAATCCTGGAGTTCAAAATCGCGTGAACTTGAACTATGTGCAAGAAAAATGGCAGCTGTGCATCCGATTCTCGTGTTGAGACAACTTCCGCTATTGACTTCATCTCTAATGGGTTGGTGTGATCTGGAGTTTGGTCATTTTAAATCTGGACATCATCTTAACCTTTTTACACAGGTTATGGGATTATTAGAGCTGCTTCAACCACATTTATTCAATGAAGAGCATAGAGCGGGTCTTGAGAATACATTGGAAAATTATTTTCAATGTTTCCAGGTACATTATTTGGTTTGAAACTTATCTATTAATCACTAACTAATTGACGAATAAACAGTGTCGTTTTAATTTAAGTAAATTAAATATTCAGTTTATATAAATTTGCTCCATTTTAATTCAGTTTTTCGTATTTTATTTCAAATAATAAAATATTTTTTAATCTAATTTCCATTAAAAAAATATATAAATTAACATTTAAAAGTGTTACTTTAATTAGATAGATTATGTATATTTTTTAATTTTTATGGAAATATAAATTACAGCTAAAAATATTAATGACAAAATTATTAATCTATTTTATTTAAATTTCAGAATTATTGTACTATAGATGATCTCACATCCCTTTTGAACAGATTTGCTCTTCTTTTGCAAGCTTATGTCATGCACGATGAACAGTATGCTTTAAAATATCTTCAAAAACATGCACATATTCTTCAGTAAGTAAATTTTTTTATCATAATTTATTTTGACAAATTATTTTTTATCGCAATATTTTAAAAAATAGATGCCGAATTATAAAAATAAAGAAATTACTATGTGCATATATGCAAAAATACATATACATATATATATATATATATATATATAAATAATGTTTGAAAAGCAAATTAAATTAATTTGTTAGCAGTATAAAAAATAAAATATTAAAATATAAATATATTATAATTTTTCTATACAGTGATCTGCAAGGACATTACCTTGGACTTGAAAGTTTACGGTCACTTGTATCAGGAATTCCAATTCCCAGAGAAGGCGAAAGTGGTGATAATATTTTAGTGACCGTCACTTTTAATCGTAGTGCTCCAACTCCACCATTATCACATTGGCCAGCTTTACTGGTAACTCTTACAAAAATTCAAGGCGATGGTATTTCTTTTTAAAAATTATACTTAATATTCTTAATAATCAAATTTATTTAAATAGTTTTATTTTTATATAGAAGTTTTTATTGCTCTTCAAGAGATCGAACACTTATCTTTGCGTAAACCATCTGTATTAGAACCAATTATTGACAATATTGCTGATCTGCTTGTATCACCACAAGGAAATATTAGAACACTTGCTCATACATTAATTGCAAGAGCGTTGAAACATCGACCTTATTCAAATCTTGGTGTTCTTTCAGCTTTTCAAAGATGTCTTGATAGCTCTAGAGCTGATATTTTGATGTCTGCTTTAGATAGACTACCAGATTATGTTTTATGCATGCAAGGTATATTTTATTATAATCAAGCATGATATTAAATCAATTTTATAAAAAATTTATTTTTAAATTCAAATTTATTTTTAGAGTATGCGTTACCTTTAATGCAAAAAGTATTTGAACTTGGAGTGAACTCAAATGTAAATACTATTCCTTATATAAATAAGAGTATAACTCTTTTAAATACACAAAAAGGCTGTTAGTATTAAGACTGCAATGTTTTTATAAATTAGCAAATAATTCTTGGAAAAATAAATGAATAATTATTAAGTTTTGTACTTTTGTGTTTTATTGATTATAGAAATATAAAAATTTATTAATTTTCATATGAAAATTTTTTTTTTATATTACAGAAGTAGTATATATATGTACAGGTACAGTAAGTACAATTAATTACATATAAAAAGAATTACTATTAAAAAGCTTCTGATGGTAATTTATTATTTACATAGGTTTGCATAAAAGTTTTAATTGCTTGACGAATATCCCAATTAGCTTCTCTTAAAAATTTATTACAAAATTCTGTATTCATAGTAGTTAATTCTTGTAGAAGTCTTAAAAGTTGATATTTCTCTGCCATACTAAATGATGTTGGATTAAATAGGGGAACTGATTTATCTGTTATAGTTTTTAATTCATTTAAATCTACGTTATTTAAATTTGTTGGACAGTTATCTAAATGATATTGATCATTAATTATACAAAATTCATTATCTTCTTTAGCTACAACAATAAGAGTCCTTTGAAACCATAATGGTGACACATTAGTTTTCCTGTATAAAAAAGGACCTTGTACAGACACAGCAAAGGAGTTATTTGTGCTATAGAGTAGATCAATATCTAAATATTTTAATTTATGAAGTGTAGGAGGCTCCCTTCTCAATGCAGAAATAATTTTTTCTGGTCCAAATAATAAAAATTCTGCACATTTGGCATAGTCAACAAATTTTAATAAATTTCTGTTTGTTGCAAAATATTTTATAATTTGCTTATGCGAGTTATCCGAAATTGGTCCAACTGTCATTGAAAATAGTGCTCCAGTATCATACAATCCATTTAATACTATTCTGTCATTTTGATCATAGCATGTAAAAAAATGTTCAACAAATTGTTTTATTAAATTTAGTTTTATTTTATCATTTATAAAGTGTTTATTATGTATTGGAATTATTCTTTGTTCAACTCCAATAATATGTCCATCTAATACTTGCAAATGAGGGAAAAGTGATTTTACTGCATTAATATAATCCTTGGATGATTCATATTTACTACAAAAAGGATTACCATCAAGCCATAATTCTGTTATTTTATACTCAGAAAATGGTCTAAGTAAGTTTATATCAGCTAATTTATTATTACGTACATCAAGTTTACTAAAATGAAAACCAAAAACTTTCTCAGTAAATGCAATAGATTCCATATTATTATTTCTTAAAATTAAATCTCTTACTGGAAGCTTGACATCTCGAATATAATTTGGTGTAACCACTGATCTTGAGAAGCGTAAAATAGCATCAAATACTGATGAAATATGAATTGGACAATATATTGATCCTAGTAATTTATTATGTGTAAAATTTTCAAGATTTAAACTTTTTTTTGATATTGGTTCTCTACCAAAACATAATCTAATAACATTAGTTATTATTTGTTGTGGATTTAATTCTATATCTTTACAAGCAATAAAAGAAAGAACTATATCATAGTATATAAGTTTTCCAGTTGAAATTTTAATTTGTAATTTTTGATTGACTAGCTTTTGAATAGTGTTAGAACGACAAATAGTAAGAAATGTTGCTTTGTTTTCACTTTCCATTTTAAACATTACAGGAATAAAAAAAATTGGTGCACAAGTTTCAATTAAATTATCCAGTACTATATTTTTATCTTCTTTATCTATGTTAAATAATATGAATTTATGCCAGACGTTTATCTGATTCGATGCTTCTGCTTCTATTTGAGTGAAACATGGATTTTTATAAGTTAACCTAATTGGTCTTATAAATTGGTTTACTATATTAGTTTCAGTCTCCATTATAAAGTTAGTATACTATAAAAGAAAATTAATGTTTACTTTAGATGCAGTGTATAAAATCTAATATATTCAAATATTTATATAAAAAGGAAAGACTTACCAACACATTGGAACACAAGTTTTATTAAATAGGTGAATTTATTATTTTATGACATCATAGTTAATATCGAAGTATTTATTTCAAAATTTGGCTATTGAATTTGTATTGATTCAAATAAATTTTTGAACAATAAGTTTCTTAAATAGAAACAGTACTACAGTGTATTAATAAAACAGTATAAGTTTTTTTTAATTTATTTACAATAGATTTTGAAAATTTATCATAGACGAAGAGTCAGAAACGTTTTACCTAAAATCATTTTAACAATTTATTTCATTAAAAACTAAAGCAATTATATACGATAATTAAAATATATAATTGAATGATTTTATATATATTTTGAAAATAAATTTTCAGTAAAATAAAAAAATTAACAATTTACCGTCATATAAACACTAAGAATGACCGGTCATAAAAGAAATTTCACGCTCTTTGATGCAACATTTATTTATATGATCAAGTTTGCAAGTAATTTAATCCATTTTATAATAAAAAAAGCATAAATTCGAATAGTTTAAAATAATGAATCAGAATCGTAACATTTTCTAATACTACTTAAACATTTTTAAACAATTTAAAATTTTAATTAATTTTAAATAAAATGTTTTTGTTAAAATATTTTAATCCTTAATTTGAAAAGAATATATTTTTATTTTTATAAAGAATAATCTACATTTTGATTATTAAAGTATATAGCTGTTAATATAGCATTATTGTACACTGTATTTAATAAAATAAGCAAACTAATGGGACACATTTATAGCATAATAAACTTAATTAGATAAATTTAAAAATAAATTTTTTGCATTATTTCAATGTAATTATTCAATTTAACTTTTGTAATTTTTCCTTTTATTGTATTTTAATATTTTAGAGATTTTTTAGCGAAACGAAAAGAAATATAATTCTAATGTTACAAAAATTACATATGTAATGAATAAAGGCATAAATACGTTATATACTTATATAATTAAAAAAAACATCACAAGTCATCTGTGTATGAAAGTATTTTCAAATTAATAGGTTATATATACGTATTTATGAATGAATTTAAATATATATGCATTTCAGATATAGAATATATAAATGCATATGTAAATATATTTACATTATATTTAAACATAAACATAATTTTAGGTGTATATTTGATTGAAATTAAAAACAATGATTCGTTGTTTTTAAGAATATAATAATATTGATTTAATAATGATAAATTTAATTAAAAGCTCGTATTATATGTTTGAAATTTAATTTAATTTATCAAGGAAGAAAATTTTCATTATTTTCATATGAAATATTTTATAATTAAAATATCTCTAATATAAATAGATGTCAAAATAATTTATTGTATTAAAAATGATGCTTGGTTTTCTATATTCTATTCTGGAAGGATGTAAGAAAAGTAATGATAATCTAATTAATTGCGATTTGAATAATTGGTTCTCTTTGTACGCATTTAAATATATATTAATAATAATGTTTTATTAAAAAAATATCCTATAGTTTATAATGTCATGAATTATGATGTAATGAACATAATTAAAGTTATAATTTTTTTGAAATGCATTAAAAAATATAAATTTAAACTTATTGTGTGTAAAGTATACAGTCAATATGATAATTAATTTTGAAATTATAACAACTCACTTTAAAATAATTCTAATATTTTATTTAATATTTTATCCTTTTTGGATATAATACATTGAAGTTCAAAATTATGTCTCTTAAACAACATATATCTGGCTACCTTACTAATTTAAGATAATAATTTTATAATATAGATTAAGTAATTAGAAAATATTGATTGACTCTTATTTGAAGATTATTAATTCTATGAAATTGTAATAAATTATCAAGATAGATAAGTGATATTTTTCTTTTAATAAATACATTAGATAAAGATTTTATTTTTGATATGTACAAATTTAATTTCATCAAATTATATTTGAAATTTTGTTAAATACATTATAATAGTTAAAATTATAGCATGCAATATTAATATTTTCAGAGCTTTTAATCCAAAATATAACTTTAAAAATATTTATTTACATAACAAGAAAAAATGTTCTTTTATAGGAAATTATCAGAACAATTTTTATTATTCAGAATACATAATAAGCTATGGCCTACTTTTTATATCTTACTGTTTAGAGAATTATTTTATAGTTTACTTTAGTTTTTCTATTCAGTTATAGCTTAAAATTTACATTTTTAGTTTTCAAATTGTATTGAAATATACAATATAATTACTTTTTAATATTTTTGCACATGTATATATTTTAACAATATTATATGCAGGTTAATTGATTTGTAAAGAACAAAAACGTATTATATAAAATATATTAATTAAATTTTTTTTACTAAAATAAAATTGACAAATAAATTTGTTCACATTATTTTTCTTATTTGTTAAAAGCGTCTTTTGGTATTTGGCCATTTTTATAGTGATGTAAAAAATTTATTATTGTCTTTCTTAAATCCCAAGCTGCATCTTTTAAATATTGTTCACAGTAATCCAATGTCATCATTGTAGATTCTTGCAAAGTAAGAATTAAATTTTCTTTTTCACTAGGACTAAAACAAGTTGCTTTAAATGTAGGTGGGTTTTCATTTTCTATGTTATATATTATATAATCTATTTCATGAATTGGTAGATATATATGGTATTGATCATTTAATAATTTAAATTCATTGTCTTCTTCTTCGGATATAATAAATGTACGATTAAAACAGTATATTTGATTTGAAGCACTACATAATTTAAATAGTCCTTCTACAGATATAGTTAATAAATCATTATTACTGTACATAAGATCACAGCAAAATGAATTATAAATGTGTTGAGAAGCAGGCATTTGTTTCAATATATTTAAAATTTGTTCTTGACCGTAATATAAACATTGTCGATTATTTTTACCAAAAATTAATAAATTTCTATTCTCTTGACTAAAATGTTCAAGATACTTTTTATTTATCAATGAACTTGCCATACCAACTGTTGTAGAATACCATGCATTATCATGGTATAAACCTCTCATTACACTTCTATCTCTGTTATCGTAAGCTGTAAAGAAATGTTGTATAAACTGTTCAACTAATTTTCTTTTTTTCCAATTTTTCACATAACTTTTGAAAACTAATGGAAGTCCTACTGAATTTACTAATACTCCATCTAGTTTATACACACTTGAGCAATAATGTTTTACAGCTTCAACATATTGACTAGCACTAGAATAATTTTCACATAAAGGATTTCCATCGATCCAAAGTTCTGTAATACTCAGTGTTTTAAGTGGCTGTAATTCATCTATCTGTAATATATTATTATGCCTTAAATCTAAATATTTAATAGATTTTATGTTTGTAGATTCTAAAACTGTTAATTGAGAAAGTTCATTATTTTGTAAACTTAAATATTCGAAAGGTCCAAGAGCAGTTTTTGATAGTTTCAAAACATGGATCATAGTTTTGCATTGTGACAAAGGGCAGTACACTGTTTTATATATTTCTGGATCCTTATGAAAATTATCTAAAATTAAGAGCTTTTTTTCTGCATTATATCTTTTTCTTAACACTGTCAATAAAAGAGGCTGTATGTTAATTTTAAGATCATGAATAGAAGCAAATGCAAGTGTTATTGACAAAATTAAAGGACTTCCATCTAAGCATTGAACAATTAAGCTAGATTTGCATAATTGATCTAAAGCTCGATCACAGTTTCTGGCAATAAAACACGAATCTTCGCCTATAATTTGATATTTTACAGGAATTAAATCTGCTGGATTTACAGCATTTAAAATACTTTTTAAAATAACTTCTTTATCATATAGACCACCACGAAGTATTAATATTCTATGCCATATATCATTTCGAGCCATCAAAGCTCTTTCGTGATACATCATTGTTCCCATACTCAATTTTATAGCTGATGATGAATCTAAAATAACAGGTGAAACTGGCGAAGAACCATTTCGTTGAGAAGATGTATTTGGTTGTGTTGATTTATTGGATTGCATTCTAAAAATAGAAATTACAATTAAATTCTATGATCAGATAGCAGTGCAAATTATAATCTTGAATATTAACGAGTAGAATGCCCTAAATGATTTATTCCATATTACAATAATATGTTATCAATATTTATAAATTTATATATTTTCATAAAAATTACTTTAAGGTTAGAAAGACAAATAATGTATTTTATATATGAAATTGAATTAACACTTACTTTCTTTTTAATATTTATTGTTTTTAAATCATTGAATTATTGATTGTTTTAGCTCAGTTTTGAAAATGTTGATAATTCTAAAAATATAACAACCAGAAAACAAAATTGTTTCTTACTATCGATTCTGATTATCATTTCATTAAGCATTACCAGCTGATCTGATATTTATTTATTAATTTATGTTATCGTTTTATTATAAAACAAAAAAAAATTATTATAAAGGCAGGTAGAGAATACGTGACAAATTATTATTATTTTTTTTACACTTTTACAAAGAGATTTTTACATTATGTATTTAAATTTAATCTGATTAATATGATATCAATTAATATAAATTAATTTCTTATCTATCGGTAAAGGGTTTAATTTTTTAGTTGAATTTTGTTTTATTTTGCATTATTTTGTGATTTTATAAACTTTTGTATTTGCTATACATAAAAATTTGACTGCTATAGTAAAAATTTCTCTACACAATCGTTATTATTTATTTTATATAATATTATTAATTCAATTTATTAACTTAACAACATTCTTATACTTTTTTTGATCGTTTATTCATTATAAGTTTTATTATTTCTTAAATATTTAATTATAAAGTTTATTGTATGTAATAAAATAATGTTAAATATATTTTTGCTAACACTATTCAGAAAGTGATTTTTTAAATTATATCAATTTTTTATTTCAACAGCTGTACTTTTACGACGACGAAATCATTCGACATAAACTAAGATTACAAAAATGTTATTATTGTGAAAAAGTCTAGATTTTGATAATCCTTAAGTAAAATAGTAGATTAAAAAACTATTTCTTAAATAAATAAAATAATATAATTATAAATTTTTTAAACGGTATATTAAATATCTGTGATTTATATTAATTATCTACGGTTATTTACAAAATACATCAAAATTCTTTATTAATAATATAAGAATAATTTTAGCTAAATTCTTACTAATTTTATTTTTATAATTAAAAAAGATTTTGATTCTTCAATCCATAATAAAGAATTATATAAGGATTAAGTAATGTAATATTTTGCAAACGATATTCATTTGAAAAATAATAGTATTATTATTTATAAAATAATAAAAAATGTTTACCATTACATTAATGTAATGTTATGTAAAATGTTTTATTTAAATATTACATAATTATTTTTTAATAAAATATAGTTTCCATATTCAATATTTTAAAAATTTTATTAGTTTTCTTATCACAATAAATAATTGTAGTAGATTATATTTATATATTATAATTATTAATAAGGATTTTAATGAAAGTTTAATAATTATTTATAATTTTTAAATAATTGATAAATAATTGAAATGATATATTAAGACTGGATCTAATATATCATAAATTGATTTACTATTATTTGCGAAAATATTAATAGTTATTATTAATAGATGATTAATCATATTTTATTTAAAAATTCTATATTATAGATAAACAATAACGTTATTTTTTAAACTTACTATGTAGTTCCAAATATAAATAAATTTAAAAATATAAATTTATTTGAAAGTTGGATTTAATTCATGCACTGTTTTTACATTATATAAAATTGTCATATTATAAAATATAGAAAATCCAAAATTGAAAAAGTATTTATTAAATTTAGATGTATAACTAATTATAATTACGGTTTAACGTATGTTTTCGATTAATATTTGTAATTATATTAATATTATTGGATAACATTTAATATTATTATAAGAAGAATTTTCTTTATCTTATAATATTTAGATTTTGCTTTTATTAGTATGAAATAAGAAAATTTTAAATATATCATGTAAAATAATTTTTTAGAAATAATTTTTATATAAATTTATTTATTATAAAATTTGACTATTTTGTAATTTATTTTTTTTACTAACTGTCCTAATATTTTTTATCAGTATTAATTTATTATATTAAAGAAATATAATATATTTATGAAATTATTATTAAATAAGAAACTAAATTTATTCCTTTATTATATAATTGTAATACGAGCATCGTTATATTAATAATTTTACCAAATTTTATACTACATTTGAATATGTAAATGTGCATACAAAAGATTATTACATAATAAGAGAATTAAATTCTTATTCTTCTTATTAATATTTTTCTTCCTAATTATTTAAAAAATTTCTAATTATTAGTACCGAATAATTTTAAAATATGTAAGTGAATTTATTATTTCTGTTTATTAATTAGTCTAATTATAATTTTCATTTTATGCATTAGAAATTTGTTTGTTTATTAGAATATTTGTTAAATTTTTTTCTTTAATTAATATACTTACGTTAATGTTAATGATGATTTAGTTTATAATTTCATTGCAAATGAATTTACTTGGGAGCTTTAAATTTATTAAGGAACTTTAAACTTCTTTAATTACTGCCATACTAGTAGTGCATAAATTAACTAGGCTATATTTTTTAATTGATTATGACGTTTTCATCAAAGTTTTATGACTTTCAAAATAACTGTATACTTATAAAGTATATACGCGTATAAAGAGTTTGAGTAGGTATTAAAGAAATGCTGAGTGTGTGTATAAAATACACATGCTTTGTAAAACGTAGGAAAAATTAAAATAAAAGAGAAGGGAAGTCAAGACTGTAAAAAGACCTACCATGTAATAAGACTATAAATCCGTCTCTTTCAGCTAATAAAAGGAAGCTCGAAAATCGGTCGGGATAATGGTTCGCACACGGGTACATGCGGCAAATCAAACAACGGTGAGAGAAGAGAAAAAAGAAAAAGAAAATCGCGAGCTCGCATTGCGGCTACGTGGCACAGCACATACTTGCGTACATATGTACAGTAAAAAGGGATTATACACACGTACATAGAAGAGAAAGGCGCAAAGCACAGCATAATAATAAAACCGGTGATTTGGTCGGAGCTCTATCTCTCGCAATGTGATGCATCGACGCGGAGTCACTTGCCTTGGGCGATGCTCTTCCGCATTTCGCATTATCGGAAAAATTTCCTCCCTCCCATAGTCGATATGCGGGTTATGCGTTCGTACAAAGAACTGCTCCCCGCCCCGATAAAATATAATACTGTAATAAGTGTGGGGAGAAGGCGGCGGCGATCGTGGCAGCGACGGCGGCGGCAAAGGTAATACGAGGTTGTACTAGAGACAGGGCTTCGGAGGTTCGTCCTACGGTCCGCGCCAGGACGAGCCTTTTTGCGCTCCGCGGGCCATTGTTTCACGCGCCCAGTTCTAACGAACCATTCCTTTCACATTCACTGTCATTTTTTGCTTTTTTTTTATAATACAGTTTAATCTCCAGCTTCCGATGGTTCTTCGATTTTGTTAGTATCAAGCGGGCAAGAAACTGAACTCAAGCTTTTTCCACTTTCATTAACCGGGTCATTTTGCTGAATCACCTGCCGTGCCTATTATCTAAGAAATTGCATTTCTTAACATACTTATTGATACGAGAAGGTTTATTTTACAACGCACTTGGAGATTCTATGTTTGATTACTTATGTAGTCATTTTCACTGAGCTTGCAAACAGCTTCTAACACAATTCTGTAAAATTTTTTGGAAGTTTTGTAATGCGATAGGAACTGATTTTATTCTAGAATAGTCGTATTATAGACTAACAAGAAGTTCATTTTTATTTGTAAAATAAAAAATGAATTAAAATCTGTTCATTAAACGAAGGTGGTTATCGATTTTACATAGCATATGTAATATTTATTATGTATGTTGAAAATTTCATTTTACATTGTCATAATTTTATTCAATCTACACTGATAATACTCTAATTTATTTTAATGCTAGATTTATTATTATTTTAGGCAAATCAAGTTGAAGAGATCAGATTAAATTTTAAGATTTAAATATATGGATTATCCTGATATGTACAGATTTAGAATTGAATACGATCGATAAAATGTTTCGTTAAATTACTTTTCTTTTTTAAATTTTAATTTTGAACTGCAATTATAAAATGGTTTTATTATAGTATTATCATATGGTTTAAAAATAGGAAAATTCATAATTGCTTAATATAATCAAGTATCTATCTTTCAATTATTTATTAAATAATATTTATATTTCCATTGATAAAAAATGTTACTAACATATTTTACAAGATTTTTTTTAGTGTTTTTCAATAATTTTCAATGTGTATATTACTTATTAAAAGATAAAAAAATTTTGACTATAATGATTAATTAATTATTTATTAGTATTTTTCATTTTTTTAATAACAAATAGATTATTTACTTTCTACTCTACAAAACAAATTATCAATCAATATTATTTTTTAATTTTTTAAATATTTTTTGTATTAATTATTACATTTGTTAATTACAATTAATTAATAAATTATTACAGTTAGTAATAATAATAAGTTAGATTAATTAGTTTTTAAATTAGATTAAATGTTAATAAAATAAAATGTGCATATAGTATTTTTAAATGATATTCACACGTGAATTTATTAATTAAATAAAAAACCTAAATGATATCCGTGATTATTACGCTATATTCGTTAAAGCTGAACTTGTATTTATTATATTAAATTAAGTAAATTTGTATCCGCATATGATATAAGTTAGTGTAATGTTTATATTATATTGATAAATTTATCATTAGTCACTTTGTTACTTTGAATTTTAAAGTCTAATGTATTTAGGTTTATGTATTTATCTGCGTTTATAAGATATTTAACGTACAAGCAAGACTATGCAATATCTTTTTTCATTGTCTTACTCTTCAAAATAATGCAAGATTCTATTGAAATGTATAACATGGAATTTCTTTCCTTGTAGAA